AAAAAAAAAAAGGGAAAATGAAAAGGACAGCACCTAACATAGGAAGAAACAATGTCAATTGATCGAATGGCAGTCCTTCTGTGTTCAACTGAGTTAAAGGAGGAAGAAGAGAAATGCAAAAGAGAATTCTACAAAGTAAATAAGAAATATTAAAGCATTTAAAACCATATAACCTATGTCCCGGGGTACAAACTGCAGCAGAAGTTGGGTTGATGTGACATGGGAAGCAGTGCTCTCACCTGGACCACCTGGTGGGCGTTGGTGTCATTGAGGGCCAGCTCAGTGAGGGCAGCACAGCAGGCTGGAACGAGAGGAAGCAGACCACAGTGTCCGTCACCATGATGAACACAGAGTCATCAGTACCCTGACTGGCAGGGGGGCTCTGATAGCCAAGTCACTCCTCAAGAAACACTAATTCTCGTTCTGGCACAGTTCTGGAAGAAGGAAGTCAGCTCAGTGGCTTCTAGCTCTCCCCTCTTGTTATTCATGTGCGCATACGTCCCACAGCAACCTTTTATTGAACACCTACTGTATACAAGAAGGCAGGGGTTTGCATCTGTCTGGTTCATTATGATCCTAGCACTCAACATGTACCTGGCCCTTTAACAGGTACTCAATAAATACGAGTAGAGTGGATGAAAAATGAATGAATGCTTTAAATGGATTATCCAAACTGATCCTTATAGTGTGGATATGTACAATGATCACCAGTCTTATGAATGGGAAAACTGGTTCAGAGAGGTGAGTAGACTGTACAACCAGCAAATGGAAGGGGCCAGGGGTCTGGTTCCCATCAGTCAGATGCTAACCCCCAGGCGCTGAGCAGTACACTTCCTGCCTCCCTGCAGCCTCTGTGGCAGCTGCTGGTGGCATTCTCCACTGAGATACTTGTCCTCCCAGAGGTCTCCTGGACTTCACTGATAGAGAATACCATTGTAGCGAGCCCTTGGCGTTGGTCCAGCACTGTGCTAGAGACCTCACCTATGTCCTTACACCATTCTCAAAAAAGTCTGCATTTTACAAGAGCTAAACTGAAGTCCGGGAGGTTAAGGAAACTGCCCGAGGCTACCGAGGCCACGTGGCCATGAAAGTGGGTACAGTGAAAACTCAGACTCTACTCTTAATGGCTTGCTTTTAATTTTTATTTAGTTTTTCCTTTTATATTTCAGCATGAAATAAGCTCTGTAAAGTAAGCATGTAGCTTAATGAGATATGACATACCTATTTACCCTGCACCGCCCCGATGAATACACAGGCTATTTCTAGCCCCCAGAAGCCCCCCTGTGCTCCTTCCTAGAAGTTAACCCTCCTATGATCCCATACATAGGTAACCACTCTTCTGACTTCCACCACCACTGACCTCACCCACTCTTGGAGAGAAACCCCCAACACATACACACACACAAGAGCTCTTGCATGGAGACAGGCCTTTTAGATTAAGCAGAAATAGCAAGTGGAAGTGGACTCTTACTTCCCTGTCTTCATATTTCTGTAAGGAAACATCTCCATTCTCTAGAAGGAAACTGTAGGAAACAAAGATAGTCTGCAGGCTCCCTCCTGCCCCATCACCCTCCTTCCACCCTCAGCCACCTGTGCTCTTCCGCTGCTAGGCTCTCTCCATCCTCTTGATAAAACACATGGGGCCTCACTGCTCCCTTCCTGTGGGCTGATTTGAAGCCCATTCATCCCAAAGGCCAGGCGCCCCTCTGCAGGGCAGAGACCATGACTCTCCAAGGTGGCTCTGCCAGGACGGGTCCCTGCACTGCTGCTCCTGCTTTCATGTGGAAATCCCACCCAGAGCAGCATCTTTCTCTGTCTGTCCGAGCTCATGATGTGGAAGGAGACACTCCCTTGCACTTGGTGTGACAGGTGTGTGCAATGTAGAGTCTCCTCTTAGGTAGAGCGTGTCAAGATTTAGAAAATTACAGGAAGTTTGGCTTTCTGGCCACAGATCAAGCTGCGCTCTTTAATTCAGTTTTACAAGTAACGAAGTTAGTATTCTCTTTAACTTCTGTTTTTTTCTTCTCACTGAGTTCAGAATGTGGAAGCGAGAGGAAAGTTTGTTTGATCATTAATCTGCAAGTCCAACACCAGTACCAAGAAGTTTCTGACAACCTCATGGATTTAACATCACGAGTTTGTAAACTTAAAAACGGTGTCCAATGAACACCACCACACTAATTTATAACAGGGAAGAAGAATGCAACGGAACAAATTATACAGTGTCAAATAATAAAACAAAGGACTATAACATATATACCTGCTTGAAGAGAGAAAGTATTTTCTTGTATTTCCCTAGGACTCAAATCTTCTGACAGATGAAGCTGCTGGATTCGGCCCGCAGCATTTGCACTAGACAGGCTCCCAATGGAGGAACGATCAGAAACAAAATTTCTGTCTCTGAAAAAGAAATGATAGATTGGTGAGGATGTGCAGGAAAAAGAACACTCATACATTGCTGGTGAGACTGCAAATTGGTGCAACCGCTTTGGAAAGCAGTATGGAGATTTCTCAGAAAACTCAGAATGGAACCACCATTTGACCCAGCTGTCCCACTCCTCAGTTTATGTCCAAAGGACTATAGTGATGCAGCCACGTCAATGTTTATAGCAGTTCAATTCACAGTAGCTAAACTATGGAACCAACCTAGGTGTCCTTCAATAGATGAATGGATAAAGAAAATGTGGTATATATACTCAATGAAATATTACTCAGCTTTAAAGAAGAATGAAATTATGGTATTTGGCAGTAAATGGATGGAGCTGGTGAGTATCATGCTAAGCGAAATAAGTCATCCGGAAAAACCAAAGGCCGAATGTTTTCTCTGACATGCAGATAGCTAATGCACAATAAGGTGTTGAAGACAGAGGTACTTTAAATTAGGTAGAGGGGAGAGAAGGGAGGGGAGGGGATATGGGGATAGGAAGGATAGTAGAATGAAACAGACTTTATTACCTTATGTACATATATGACTGTATAACCAATGTGAGTCTACAACATGCAGCATCAGAAAAATGATAAATTATACCCCATCTATGTATGATATATCAAAGTGCATAAATGCATTCTACTGTCACGTATAACTAATTATAACAAATTTTTAAAATTTTAAGTAAAGAAATGCTAATGCATAGACCGTTGATCAATTTTCCTCCATGGTCAGCCCTTTCCTTATCCTGTTTAAAAATATAGTTTCCCCCAGGTCATGAGGTTTTCTCCTTTATATCTTTACTCATTCACTTTCCAATCCATGATGACTGACTTCTGTGTGCAGTGTGAGATGAGTCTAACTAACTTCCCGCCTCCTCTCCCTCCTCTTCCACCCCTTCCTTTTTCCCTTCCTCTCCACTCCCTCCCTTTCTTGCTACTGAACGGACTCCACACTACCTACTGAAGAGACTGTCCTTTCCCCACTCTCCAAGTGGCTCTCCATTCTGCCACAGACAACTCACTCGACTGCCCCTCTGTGTCATAATTATCCTGAGTTTTCTTTTTCAGTGAACTCCCAATCCTTCTTTATTTTAGGAAAGTTCTCTTCTGTTATATCTTTGAACTTTTTTTTTTTCTCTATTTTACTCTCAACTTCAGGGAACTCAATGACCCACGTGTTGGACCCCCATCTTCTGCTGGCAATTCCGTTCTCTGTTGCTTTGGCTCCCATGTCTTTCTCCTCTAATTGACAAGTGACTTTTTCAAGCTTGGCCTCCATTTTACTACTCCCAGTTTTCTCTGGCACTTTGTTTAATTGCTCAGTCCTGTGACGGTTCTTCAGCCCTTGTTTTCTTTCCAAGCTCCGTAATCCCTTCCCTGTCTCCCTGTCCTTTCATCTCTTCTTTAATCTCATTTCATAAATTCATGCTCCATTTATGGCCTTTGATAAGGTAGACCATCTGTTTTTCTATTTACTTATCCCTGACTTCCACAACAGATTGCCTGTCTTTTGTCAGCTTTGATCCCATTTGTTTTATATGATCAGCACATTTTTTTTTTCTCATTCATTTATTTGTGTAAGTCCAGCTCTCTCTGGACTTCCATGTGCTCAGAGATAACATGGATGGAGTCTCCTCAACTCCTTCCCATGCTATCTGAGTCCACGTGTGTCCTTCCTTCCATGGACATGGGGAAGAGAGTGGGGCTGTGTCGAGGGACAGCCGCACTTGGTGATCTTATTTGTTGACATAATCATCTTAAAATTCAAATTATAGGAATTGCTCTACCTGACCCAGAACACACCTCCGAGTCTAAGATTGCAGGTAAAGGGATGAATGGATTTCCTGAAAGCTGCTCTCATAACAAAGCCTGTTCCTGCTCAGGCCTCCAACACCTGGCGGCCTCCTCCCCTCCTAGCAGCTCAGGCAGCCCAGGGGCTGGCACGGCTCTGGAGGGCTATTATTTATCCAGCTGGGGTAATAAATTCTCCCAGAGCACCGAGGCATGTTAAACGTAGAATAAGAGTGAACATATATCATCTTCCCAGGGAAGAGTTTTCTAACACGGCATCATCAACACAGGCTGGAAAATGACGCTTTAGACATGAAAGAATCCTTTTCTATCAAGGATAGTTATGACTTGAACAAATGCAGAAAACAGTGCCCTGCAATACACTCCACTCTGTGTAAGAAAAAGGCAGATTTTTGTCTTTGAAGCAAAGCCCAGTTTAATTATTATGGAATTTCATTTTATCACTAAGAAAATAGCTGCTCTCCAAGAACCACCCACAACTGCGGTAATAGGTTGACTGACCAATAGTAAATAAGAATATACCATTACCATCTTAGGAACCCAATCAAAAAACGTCCTTGGCAATTGTTATTATTTTGGCCAATTATAATTATTTATAAACTTATCATTACACTTTAAGGTAATTAAGGTTTTATGTGATATTCATGAAAGGAAGCAGATTGTCAAGTTTATGATTTTTTTCCCTTTATTTTGGTAATAACAGAAATCATTAACAAAGCTACTGCTTGCATCTCTGCAGTCTGTCTCTATGCTTTAGGAAGTTCTCTCAGAAAAAAGAAAATTGGTAAGGCAAAGTTCCACAGTATCCCTCAAGGAATGACATGTCCAACGTCCAAATACATGGATTTGACAATATCTAATTATATTAAAATTAGCAAGTCACTCTGCTTTGGTTAAAATGGGCTCTGTTTACTTGCACCACATCATATCCATGCTTATTTTTAACTTTAATTCAGCCCTCATGGGGCTAAATTATGCTATATAATAATATTAGGTAATAAAATTTTCCAGTGGATGGTAGGAAAGCATATTATTACTCAGTACTTCAACAAATTTAATTCATAAAATACAATAGTTACATTACAACATACATCAAGAGAAGTTCAATTTAAAACTATTTTAACAAACCATCCCTTCTAAGCTCATGGCTTAGAATGTCACTACATTTTTTTTATTTGTTTGTTTGTTTATTTGTTTGCATTATTGGGGATCAATCCCAGGGCCTTGCACATGCTAAACAGGCTCCCTACCACTGACTACACTCTAACCCTGAAAGACAGATGATATATATATGCACGCACAAACATTTTAATAAAATATCAGTAATTTCTGTATCGGTTGGCACTACAAAGCACTTATACTGATTCAAGAAAAAGGTGGCTAGACAAAGGTTTCCCTTCGATTATTAGACTTCCACCCAACCCACCTCTGCAGACTGATGCATTCTGGGTGCACACTGGAGGCTGCTGATGGGAAGATAAATAGCACCAGAGTTCCCAAGGAACTGAAAAGATGAGTGTCCCTGACACCGATTTAGGAAATGCTTGTGACAACTATAAGTGACTCTGAAGACAAGAAATGACCAAAGAAACTCGAGAGCGGAAGGGAGCAAGGTGAGCATATGCCCGACAGTCATCTGGTCCCAGGGTCTGCGGGCCTTCAACCTTTAGGACAAAAGAAGCCAAAGCCCACGCTCACCCTCGTAAAATATGAAGAAGCTGCTTGATGCCTCCCCAGATGCGAATTTCCACACTGGTCTCGGGGTCTTCACAGACCTGGACCAGAATCCAGACAACGCTCCAGAGCAGCTTCAGGTGGTCAGAGTGGAGCAGACTGAGGAGAACAGGTATCCCCTCATAGAGCTTCACCTGCTCCTTCACCTGGGGTTCGGCACAAAGGAGGCGCAGTAACTCTGCAGTTAGTCTGAAAAGCCGGTGGGGAAGAGGGAATCACAGCATCATGAGTTAAAAACTACATTCAACTATAGGTTATCATCTCATCACACATAGAATATACTCTTACTTTTTTTTTTTTTTTTGGTACCAGGGATTGAACCCAGGGCCCAGGGGTGCTTAACCACTGAGCCACATCCCAGTTCTTTTTTTTACTTTAAATTTTGAGACAGGGAATTACTAAGTTGCTCAGGGCCTCACTGACTTACTGAAGGCTGGCTTTAAACTTTTGATCCTCCTGCCTCAGCCTCCTCAGCTGCTGGGATTACGGGCATGTGCCGCCACATAAAGCTGCTCTTACATTTGCTAAGTTATAGCTCAACACCCATTTTGGCCAGATCAAAGTCAAGTACTTTCAGCTTTTCCAGCCATGCCATGTCTGTCACAGCTACTCCGCTATACTAAGACAGCATGGAAGCAGCCATAGACTGTTAAGACATAAAAGTGAATGGGCATGCCTGTGGTACAATAAATCTTTATTCACAAAAGTAAGCGGCAGGCCAAAGATAGCCTGCAGGTCAGAGCTGCTGACCACTCTTTTATTTTAAGAAGATACAATTAACCCTCATTGGTCTGGCTATACATCTTTGGCAGAAGTAGGTGCTGAGTAGAAACAATGTGACCTATATTGTGCTAAAGGGAGATGAAATACAAAGAGCCTTATTCTATCCCAGCAACTCAGGAGGCTAAGACAGAGGAATGGCAAGTCTGAGGCCATCCTCAGCAACTTCATGAGACCCTAAGAAACTCAGCAAGACCCTGTGTCAAAATAAAAAGGGAATTAGTTCAGGAGTAAAGTACCCCTGGGTTAAATCCCCAGTGCCAAAAATAATACATACAAAATATAGCTTTAATTCTAGTCTTTAGAAACTTACTAAAAGTTTTAAAAATAAGACATTGAAAGAAAATGTCAAAAATCAACAGTGCAGATAAGTTAGGCACAGAGTCCTCCGTGATTATCTGGAGAATCAAATAAAAATGATGGTAAAGACAAAAGGTTCAGCTGAGTCACAAAAACATTATCATAATAGATGTTCATGGAATTATCCACAGTCCTGCAATCTCACATTCTACACACTGTACCTGGATGACATCATTCATTCCCAGGATTACAAACACTCCTCATATATTGACATCTAGCCCAGGCATTGCTTGTATGGCCCAAAAGTTTTAGCACACAAGTGTTCTGCAAGTACCACATTATGTCTAAAGTCAAAATCATTATCCTCTCTAAATCTCTTCTTCCTCTTCTGTTCTTGATCTGGACTCACAGCACCAGAATCTTTTCAGTTTTCCAACCCAACAGACCTCTCCTTCTACACCCTGCCATTGCTGATCAAAAGCTTTTGGTGTCCCCTATTTCTGGGACTATTGTGGGATTAAGTCTCTAGAAAGTCAGGCCAACTAGATAATCCTACTGTTTCTCCCATCCTTGGGATCCTTGACAATGCTCATGACCAAAGTGCCTATTCTCCTTCACATACTGCTCTAATTACTTTCCCCAAAACCAATTTTCCATGGCTCCTCTCCCACCCAAAATCTTTTGCTATGATGTTAAGAACATATGTTCTTTGGTAAACAGTATTCTTTACCTTCTCAAACTTTCTGCACCAGACATTCTCTCCTTGTTATAAGTGGCTCTCAATGTGCTATATATATTCCACACTCCACCCTACCTCCACATGCATAGCTGTCAGAGTAATCTTTCAAACAATTAATGTGATCACACTTAAAATCTTTCTGGGAGTCCCTATGATGTTCACACGCTAAAATCCACATCTTTATTCAGCACGCAACGCCCTTCGCGACCTGAATAAACATGTCATGTTGCCTCACCTATGAAATATGGGAAATAACAGGTTTATTGTGTGGATCAAATGAGCTGACACACAAAAGTGCCCAGAGCACAGCCTGGCATATAGAAAGCTCTGATCAAAAACCAACTGCATTTTTTACTCATTATTAACTGTCTGTTCAAGTTTTCTGGCACTTTCCTTTCTTTGCTCCAGTTCATGCACCCAATTTCATGCCTCCATGTTGGAGCACATTCTATTTTCATTGGCTCTCTCCCTCTGCCTAGATATCTCCTATTCCCTCCAGAAAACATGGCATGGACCCTCAGTCTCACTGGGACATCTCTGCTCTGGCGTCCCAAAATACCCAATGCATCCAGCTAAAATGAATCTAGTGATTTGTCCGTCAGCCCCTGCCCCTCCCCTCTGTTATGCACGTGTATCCTATTCATCTTCGGTTTTCCAATACCTGGAACGGAGTCTGACACCGTTTTTGCTGGGTGAGAAAGTTGAGATGTGCAACTTTGTAAGCATATAGACTTTTATCTATATTTAATGCTTTTGTAAAATAAAATATTCAATCAGATTTGAAGCAGAAATTTAAAAAAAATACTATGAGTTAAGTGTCATGACTTCATTACCTGGGATTTTGGTTATCTATCTTGATTCTTTAGAAAATTATGACCTATTCAACTAAATATCAAATGATGTAGATTGCAACTCCATTTAAACACAGATTATCTGCTCTCTGGATACAGAAATCCTTTAGAACAAAACGCAGCTCAGGTGAAAATAAACCCCTTTTATTCAAGACTGATTTATAACAAGTGATCCCAAAACAAGTTGGTTGGTATCTCAATTGACTTTACTTGCCTTAAGAAAAATGGCTTTTAGCAGTCTAATAATTTATTCCACTAAAAAATAGAGCCATCTTGGAATTTCTTTCCCTTAAAAACTATATAAATAAATATAGGAAATTATAGTATTAAACATAAGACCAAATAATTGTATTCAATGCCCAGATCTAGAAGTAACGCAAGATGAAAGATAAATCACCCTAACTCTTTGCACTATTTTCTTTTATATAAGCTTAAACAGAAAAGCGATGGCCACGCTGACTCAGGATATTCAGTTAAAATGCACCTATTATGACATAATAATCACAAGCATTTGAAACAAATATAAAGATTAATTTTTCCAACTATTAGCAACCTTACCTTTTGGAAAGCAAGTCATATTCATGCAAAATCATCAATAGGTTTTCAACAACGTTGAGTTCACTTATCTTCTCCCTACATTCTGGACTACAGATTTAAAAATATTAGTAACTATTAAAAACAAACTTTACTACACCCACTAATTTAATAGTCTAGCTCTCATATTATCTTAGAAAGACAGAATAGAGAAAAAGAAATCATACATTGTTCAAAAAAAGGCCACTGATCTACCTACTAGCATAAAAGGGTATTTAAAGCTCTTTTATTTAAAACAATGACATCAGTAGGAGAACAGGTGTTCTTAAAAAAATTTAAGGTCAAGAATTTTTGAAAGTGAGCTGTATGTTAAAATGAATGAATGCACAGGTAAGAATAAAGAGAGAAAGAAGGTCAGGGAGATTCAACTAGCAAACAAATATGGTAATTTTGAGAGTAAAGTAACTGAGGGTTGAATGAAAATATGTGGCCAGTAGGTGAGGAAGAAATAGAAAGATTTAAAAAGCAATTTGCCTTTCCAACTTAAATTTTAAAATGTTTTCCATCCTCTTCAATATATAAATGTTTCATGATTACTTTTCAGAAATTGTAACTAAGCAGGTGACAAAGCAATTGATCCATTCTGCATTGCTCTCATCTAACTCACTCCAACAGCAGAACTGGGAAGGATATTAGAACATACTTACCTTTCTGCTAAGCTTGCCAGGGCCAGAAGGGCACCCAGTAGGACATTAGTGTCCCGGGCACCAAGTAAATTTACTAATGTCTGAAAAGTTAAAAAATATATATATAAGGTTTAATGGTATAACTATAGAAATTCTACAAGCTCTTGAACGCTATAGTACTTCCTTGGATCACAGAGGCTTACATTATTTTTAGTGTTTATTTTTTGCTAAGTTTTTTAAAACGTGCATACTCAATTAAGCAAAACTGTCCATGCAATTTTATAGCTACTCATTTCCTTCTTAATTCACTAATGTTTTTCCATAAAATTGTCTTTATAAATATTTTTTTATTAGTAGAATAAAATTACTTTTTGTTACTTAGACAATAATGAAAAGTGCTTTTCCCTAGCAAACCTTTCTTTTAGTTTTTAATTTTTTATTTCAGGGATCAATCTAGAGGCTTAACCTTAAAAAGAGTTTTGCTAAACATTTGAAATATCCAGTTCTGGCCAGTCATGGTGGTTGGTATACGCCTGTAATCCCAGTGACTCAGGAGGCTAAGGCAGGAGGATTGCAAGTTCAAAGCCAGCCTCAGCAACTTAGTGAGGCCCTGAGCAACCTAGCAAGACTCTGTCCCTGAATAAAATATTAAAAAGGGCTGGAAATGTGGCTCAGTGATTTAGCCCTCCTAGGTTCAATCCTCGATACCAAAAAACATAACAGAGCAAATAAACAAACAAACAAACAAATAAATAAATAAATATATAAATAAAAACAAGGGCTGGGGATAGAATGTTTAAGTGGCCCTGGGTTCAGTCTCCAGTACTTAAAAGAAAAAGAAAAAAAAAAGTTCATCTTCTTACCAGCAACTCTTGGGAGTAGATCCTTATATCAAATTCCTTGCACAGAAAATGCAAGGCACAAACTTAGGTAACTAGCTGATTCTCATGCTTCCCTCTATTTTCATGTGCCTAGCATTTTGCTCAGCACCACTGTCCCCTCCTCTGGGAGAAGTGTGAGGCTAGCAGCACAAATGAGAACACTGGTTGCAGCCAGATGAGGAGAAGTCACTCTGAGCCACACACAGAGCTAGGCACTTTTCAAATTATGGAACTATTTTTCAGCAGAATGTTGAAACTTTTCATTTTTTCCCCCCAAACTGAACAAGAAGTATTAATACTACCCATTTGATGTCAGATTTCTAACCAATGTTGAAATAGCATCACTCATACTCTCAAGCATTATCTTAAGTAACATGGCTTAGCTGGAAGCCTTCTGAATCCTGCCAACTGTCTTCCCTCAGTGATCACTAATACAGATTCTTCTATCTTCTCTCGACAATTTCAGAATTCAGAGCCCCCACCCCAAAAAAATTTCCGCCCCACACATATTCCAGGAGAGAGCTACAATCTGTGCAATGACTACAAGAATGATTTTTTAGCTTCCATTATGCAGATTTCTCCCTTTATAATTTCTTTTTTTAAATGAAGCTATGGTTATTTCTATGATCCCTTCCTCTTTTCTTCTGTCACTTCTTCTGTCTCTAACATGTTTCCCAAAGTTCAATCCCAGAGATATCGTTTTCACAATTTTTGGCATGCCCACTTAATAACCTTAATGCTAACTCAAAAATTTTATTCAAATCCTAAGTAGAATAAAATTTACTAGAATAAAATTACTTTTTGTTATAGTTTTACTTAGACAATAACGAAAAATGCCAGATGGGTATTGAAATAAAAAATGTTAGGCTAGGGATATAGCTCAGTTGGTAGAGTGAGTGCTTGCCTCACATGCACAAGGCCCTGGGTTCAATCCCCAGCACCACAAAAAAATAAAATAAAATAAAAATGTTGACCTATACATGATCTAGAATCATCCCTAGACCATAAGCTGCACGTGCTGACACATTTTAGACAAGCTAAGCAGATTATTCAAACTGGGCTCTACGCTACTACCATCCAAAGAGTTTTGCTACAAATGTAAATTTAATTTGCTTTGATTAAACCTGCATTCACCTATCTTAAAATGTGCATCTATGTTATCCTGTGCTTGTAATACAATACCATCTTAGGAGATTGCACAAAATTGCCTGTATTCGTCCATTAACCTATGGACAATGGTAAATTCATAAGGTTCAAACTAATAAAAACCTATGTGACATACAGAATTTATTTATAAATATGCACATGTATATTCATTTTATCATTTTATTTGCTTATTTTTGTTCAATTATTTATAGACACACACTAAAGAGCTATTTATATATGGCCAGATTTTTTCAAGTAACATTTTAAATCAAGCAAAAAATTTTAAGCAACACTTAAATTAAGCCACAAATTTTATTATTAAAGAGGTCTAGAGAAAGAGAAAAGAACAAGAGAATATGGGGAAATCTTCATTACTGTGTCTACATTTACTCCTTAGACTGGTAAAGACTACAAAAGGGTTGGCAGAAAGTCAGAGTTTTAGGCTGGGTTAACAAGTTCATAAATTATGAGTCATGAATTGTGAATGATGTGAGACTTGACCACAAAGGCTCTGGACATGGCCATGTGAACTGCTGTCACATACAGAGCCAAAGCATTAACTCCTTCAGGACCCACTTACCTTGTGAGCTCCGCTTGTGGTGACCCATTCTCTTTGTTCTTTAACGGCTGCGAGTTTTTGAAAAATATCTGGGAAGGAAAGAAATAATTTTTCAAAAGCTAAGAGGGATCTGGAACTTAAAGGAGGCAATACTCAGAATACTCAATACTCAGAACTCATGTCTGCAGTACCGAGGGGCGAGCAGAGAAAAGGCAAAGGTGAACTCAGGTGTATAAAAGGAGCAAGACAAAAAAAGGAAGGAGAGGCACGGTTCTTTTTTAACCCCAAGAATTATCTGTCAAGCTCAACGGGATTTATTGTATAATAATATAGTAATAATGAAATATGGAAATTCCAAAAAAGGCAAACCTCTCTTACTGCTTAAGATTGATGGAGTTCTTTAACATCATTACAAGTTCAATGCAATTCCTGTGTTCCAGAGATCTACCTAGAGAGATGTCAACTTATGAAGAGGGGAGGGGAGGCCAGCAAAGTGATAGGCCTGGTGAGGTTCCTCAGCTGAGGGAAACAGCTGTCCTCAAAGAAACTTTCTGGTGCTTGGGGCTTGCCACAGACCCATCTCCCCTGCACCTGCCAGTCAGTGTGCCATCTGCAAACAAGCAGAACCAGCCTGCTCACCCAGAGAAAATGGGCCAGCATCCTCAACTGCAGGAAGGCCTGCCGCTGGCCAAACCTGGATGGGAGGGAGGTGGAGCAGGGGACGGCCTCGGCAGAGAGAAGACTGAGTGACGAGTGAACACCTCACACAGACCAACGTCCTCATATCACTGTCCTCGTATCATTGTTTTTTATAGATTAAAAACTGAAGTCTCTTGACATTTTAAAAGAAATCAAAAAGGCAAAAAGATTTTTACTAAAAATTTTGCTTCTATGGAAGTCTCTTTACATGAAATAAATGGTGCTTTCCAACATGAAAGTTGCAGCTCAAAGTCTTCCCTCTGGGTTATTTTGCCTCTGAATATAACAGTGGACGTGGACTTTTCAACACCCTAACTGTGAATGAAAACATTCGTAAGTGCTCAGGCTATTTCTCTTGCTACAAATGACACACTGCTTATAATAGCAAGTCCATAAAGTTGACGTGTCCCTGACAACAACACTTACACGTCATGTTGACCAGCTTGTCCACACTGTGCTGCTCTTCTCCGTAGCCCAGATACTCGTTGGCAACCATCTCCATGTACTGCAGGAAAGAACCCACACAATGAGGGACCAGACACGCAGTTCTCACAATGACCTCTAGGTGGCACAACAGATTCACCAAATACTACTGGGTACTCCTAGGCCTGTTTCACTCAAGGTCAAAAAGTGGTTGTGTTTCTGGATTCTTAGTCTTTTCTTGCATGTCCCAAAGTTGAAGGAGGAACCATCTAAAGATACTGAAAACTCTCAAAAGTTGAAAATGACTTGTAACTGAATAAGTTCATGGTGTAATTTAGTATCCAAATACAAGATACATATAAGACACATAAGATATGAAACACAGAAATTTAATTCTTTGATGTACTTTCAATTTAATTTTTATAATACACTGCATATATTTCATTAGCTTTATGTTTTATAATGTCCTAAATTATATCTATCCAGAATACAGGCAGATATCAATAGTAAGAATAAGATGAGGTAGTCTGATAATTGCTCACTGTCAATAACTAATAATAAGGAGATCCCTTACAACATAATCTTATGAAGGATTGTTTCATTAAATGAGGTAGACCTCTAGTCAATTATAATTCTTAAAAGCAAATATTAAACAAGAATCAAACTTCCCAGGGATGAGAATATAAAATAAAATAAATTTAATTCTATATTGCCATTAAACTTAATTTTCCATTAGCAATTCAGAATGAGTTTGCAGAACCTCGGGTTTATTATAAAAATTATTCTTTCTGTACCCACTCTAGGTTTTAGGAGACTGGGCTATTCCAACTCAATGATGTGCTTGGAAATTTTGTTTTACTATATTAATAAACCCAAACCACTGAATTGCTCAGTATATATATTCATCTGCTTACCCTCCCTTGGTAGTTATCAAAGCAGAAAAATAACAAAGTCAAGATCATTTTCCTTATTCCATTGTTTATCTGTTAACATTTAATGAGCACAGGGATTATGTTTGTGGGTGAAAAAGTTTTGAACATCTTGATGTTTTCTCCTATTCTGTGGTGTGTACAGTACTGAGGCTATTAGCTTGCCTGCCAGCACCTATTTCTTGTCATTACTAACTACAGATAGGTGACCTGGATTCTCAGTCTTTTCTGGCATGTCTTAAAGTTGAGGGAGGAACCATCTAAAGATTCTGAAAACTCTCAAAGTTTTAAAATGACTTTTAACAGAGTAAGTTCATGTAATTTAGTATCCAAATACAAGATATATAAAAGACACATAAGATAAGCAAAATAGAAATTTAATTCTTTGATGTACTTTTTAGTAGAATTTTTATAATTCCTCTAATTTTTAGACATTTTTTTTCTTTCAATAAGCTGGGTAAAATTAGCCCTTTCAACAGAACCACATGCATGCGTCCCTCCTTGCCCTGCAAGTATCACATCTCAGGCACACGCTCACCCACCCCACCTGCTCTTTTGACATGCAGCGTAATATAGGAAAATCATTTTCTGTCACACACTTATTTGGTGTTTGCCTGGAGCAGGACACAGAATGAAAAGGCAAGAGCAGCTACCGCAAGAGGAATCTTACCTGAGCTAGGTTTTCAATCCCACCCAGGTTATGGAGTATTTCCTAATAAAATAAAAATGAGAGAACACATGTACAGGATGAGGGCGGTGGGGAATTATAACTTAACGTGTAACTTTTTTACTAAGTCATAATAAGATCTACTGTTATTTCTTGAAGTTCCACATCCTAACATAAATACAGAAAATTCAGTGTTTGCCATTCATGATTCATTAAAGACAAATTGTTAATAGGTACAAAAGTTGGGTTGTAGATTAAAGGGATGAATATACATTCAGAACTGCCAGCTGCCTCCCCATTCTTTGCCATCATCTTAGGTCATAAAACTCGAGGCTGGGGAAGAGCTTTAGACAAGCTGTTGAGCTGTTTGTTCAACCCTCCCCCGTTACAGATAGGAAAATAAGGCTCAGAAAAGTAAACTACTTTGCTAACTGACCGAACTGGAAGAGCATGACCAAGACCTACTTCACTGAGCTTTAGACAAGATGAAGTAGGTGTACAAACAGCTAGAAGTTACAAGAAAAGTTACACATGAAGGATCACGGTGGCCCAGAGGGAGGGAAGCATCATTTACTGAGAAGACTGTCTCCTACAGAAAGGACGGAGGAAAAGACTTGCTAAGAATGGTGGTGTCTGAGTGGAGACTGGAACAGTGGGAAGACTTGTTGAACAGAGAGGGAGGAAGGAAGAAAGATAAAGGAGACTCCAAGCAAAGAGAACAGTAAGTTCAAAGGTGCAAAGGAGTTGTGTAGAAAAGACATTAAGAACAACTCCATCCGATTCTCCCTCAACCTGCAGGAGTTTTGTCTCTTTTTTTCTCACTTGAATAAAGCCTACTCTTCTATGTTCACTTTTCCTGAAATTCACAAGACAAGAATTGGGGATGGGGAAAGGTGAATACAGAGGCACAGGCCTGTAATCCCAGCAACTCAGGAGGCTGAGGAAGGAGGATCACAAGTTCAAAGCCAGCCTTAGCAACTTAGTGAGATCCTGTTTCAAAATACCAAAAAAAAAAAAAAAAATGAGTGGGGGGTGGTGGTGGCTGAGGATGTGGCTCAGTGGTTAAAAACCCTGGGTTCATTCTCTGTAAGAAAAAAAAAAAATGGAAAGAAGACACAGGAAGGCAGCTGGGGTCTGCTGCAACACTATAGAAGAGGAGGCTGAAAAATCTGGTTTTCTCCTTTGGGGGCGCATCTGGGATCCTATGGAAGGCAGGATTCCACACCTGATGTACACCTCGCCTAGTCACCCACCAACTGCTACCACAGACCTCTGAACTGGCCTGATGTACACAACACCCAAGCTACAAATGGCCATGCAGATGAAACCCAATATGAAATCCCCATCTCCGTAGGAGGCCCCTGACTGTGGTCTCCTTTCAACACCTTTTTTCAGCTTAAAGTAGGCAGAGAGGTCATTGCTCCTTTCCATAATGGCAGAAGTGTCACTTAGAGCCACTTCTTCATGAGGGGACAGGAATAAGATAGGATAGATAGTAAAACAGGCAGACAATTAAGGAAATGGGCACCACCACCCAAAAGAGAATAGGCTTCTCTACATGAACAGGCTACTCCATGAAATTAACCTCCAGAAACATTCCAAATACACCTGCCAACTCTTTCCTAGAGAGGCAGGACAGACCTGAGTGAGGAATATAAACTCAAGGGCTAACCAATATCTTTGGTACTTTTCCAATACCTAATTAGCAGGGCTTTTGATCAATAGCCTTGGAACTTTTCCAACACCTGATTAGCATAGACATTGATCAGTGCATCTACTCAGTAGCTATATAAGCCCCTGGACTAGTACACTTAAGTGGCAACCTATTAGGTCCTCTCTCACACCAAAGGAACTCTGGCTCTTCTCACTTGAATAAATCTACTCTTTCACACTAAAAAAAAAAAAAAAAAAGGAACAAGTTTAAACATCAAGATGTTCCATAACCCTGATAGAATCAGTTCCTTCACTCTGTAACAAGTTTGCTGGAGGAAATGTTAGGAAATCAGGGTGGGATCAAATTGTGAGAAGTTCTAGATAATGAGCCCATGTTTCAACATTTGCATAAAAGACCAAGAGACCTAGTGAAAGTGTGTGAGAAAAAAATCTGCCAAGAGACGGCTCTAGGGCTGGGACAGTGGCTGAGTTGGTAGAGCATTCACCTTGCATGTGTGAGGCCCTGGGTTCAATCCTCAGCACCACGTACAAACAAATAAATAATTGATTCCATCTACAACTAAAAAACAAAACAAACAAACAAACAAACAAACAATATATATTTAAACAAATAAATAAAAGAACCAGCTCTAAGCTCTTTCCTCTAGTCTTGAGATGAACTGGAAAGGGAGCAAGTGTCGACTGGGAGCCAGCCTGCCCTGGAGTCAGGAGCAGTGGGAATGACAGAAGCAGGAACAGTCTTTGAAGTGATGTAACCCCCTGAACACAGACTGGAAGAACAGGAGTGAGGAAGAAGATATCATCCTACTTGAGCATGGGTGACCAGGGACAATAACATGACTCACAGACACACCGAGGGAGGGAACAGACTGCAGGGAAGAAAATAGTGTTGGGAATGCTGAGGAGCTCTCCAGATGAAAAAAGAACAGCCAGCCGTGGAAAGTGAGGTGGTGAGGGCCAAGGGTTGACAGGTGGGAGTCATTCATATTCATATGAAGGAGATGCAAATCCAAAGGCTGGACGTCAGCAAGGGAGAGGATAACGTCGGAATGATTGGTCATGATCACTGTGGGTTTTTGAACATTTACCAGGACAAGATATTTACGCACCAAATCACATTGCCAGGATGGGACTAAGTCAGTGTGTCCCAGACACTGTCTTGGAAATAGTCATTTTATTTTGTGCAGTTGAGGAGTTAGGTGTTTAGGAAAGAAGGAAGGCAGGTAGGTAGATAGGTAAGGAGATTGATGGGGAAATTAGCTGGAGAAATGCCAGGCTGAACAAAGTCGAATGAAATTTTTGTCTCGGGACTCCCCCAAGCCTTTTCTATACTCCTGTACACTGTAAGCCTCCAAGGGAAGAGCTGGTGTTTCGTTTTCCATGACCACAGGACACTTCTTTTCACACAACTCAAGACTCCTGTAGAACACAGTCTGGGAATTGCTGCTATGAAGTACCCAAAGGGGAAAGAGGCATTCTCTCTTAGAGAATTCTGTTGCGTAACTGGAGGATTTATCTAGTTCTTCATCTAATGAAATGGGCCCTTTTCCTTCATGCTCCTATAGAGAGTGAAGCAGGACCCGGAGACGGCTCACAGGCCCAGGGTCCTCCTAAGTCTCCGTCTGGTTAAACCAGTGGAGTACATGAACCTGAAGGTGTAAACTGGAGAGAACCATGACGACAAAATACATGTACCTTGGGCTTAACAGTTCTGGTGACTGATCGGAAAAGCAAACACGACCGTCTGCTTAGATTACAGCAGCTACTTCTGTGTGTCCTTTCAGAGCTAAAGGTCTCTCACCATCACAGGCCACAGGTCAGAAAAGCAGGTTCTGTTCCTCTGAGCCTATTAACTTGGAGGAAGTCCTGGGTCAATGTGAACCATCCTTACTCTACTTACTTCATTTTTTAATAGATTCAATAACACCATAATGGCAAATAGCATGTTTTAAAAAATAAGGCACATGGTACCAATATGGGCATGGTGAGCACTGCTATCTAACCATGTGAGAAAGGTCATTTCCCATTAGGTGCGCTCATCCTAGGCCTGCTCAGCCACTAAGACAATGAATGCTGAGCACACTGCAGTGAGCCTCTGACCCCGAGTCAGCACATGACCATTTTGTTCCTCCATTCAAAACCACTGCCTATTCTTTGGTCTTGATTTTAATACCTGAGTCCCCCAGTTGCCCCACCCTTGCTTCTCTCTCCAGATGTGACAGTGAACACAGTTTCTGAAAGGCCTGGTGGATTACATTTGTAGGGAGGGGGAACAAAAGGAAATATATGGGATGTTTCTTAAGTGTCCTGCTCTGGAAGGACTCAGTGTAAGGAAAGATGGTGCCATTTAAAGAATCAGAAATGGATTCTGAAGGTTCGAGGAAAAGCAGAAGAATTGGAGAGTTTCATTTTTAAAAGCCGTTGAGTATATTTGGGGATAGCAGTGGTTCTCAAACTTTGTTCTCAGAATCTGTTTGTACTCTTAACAATTTCTGAGGACCCCACAGAGATTACAGGGATGTTGTTCATGTGGATTCTATCTATTTATATTTACCACTTTGGAAATTAAAAAGAAGTTGTTTTTACTAATATGGCTGTATGTATAAATGGGGCTGTAAAACCAATGTGATACTGCAATCTGTACATGTGGAAAAAAAATAATTCATACCCCACTTGAATCAAATGTAGAATATGTCAAGATCATTGTAATGTTTTAAGCAACTAATTTAAAAAATTTTTTAAAAAAAAGAAGTTGTTTTTAAAGCCCAAGCTTGCTCAAGTACAGGCTCCATCAGCCATCAGATCCACGACATCACCACATGCTGTATACCCTCTGGAAAATTCCACGGCACTCTTGTAGGAAATGAAACTGAAAAGGCAGATAAAATCACAGCATCATTTGGAAGAGTATTTTGACCTGGTATAACCCCTGAAAGGGTCTCAAGAGACCCATGAGCTGTCCACAGACCACAGTGTGAGGACCACTCTGCTATGGTGCCATTGAGGTGGACCAACAAAACTCTGGAAATGTGGGACTTCAAGGAAAAAGTATAAAACTAAAAATATAGGATTATGGGCAGAGAATAACAATAAAAATGATAGCTAAAGTCAAAAGCTTAGAAGATGTGGATAAAGATGACAGAGAAGAGAACATTTTGTGAAAAGTTAACATTTACAAAGATTTAAAATAGGAGTGAGTAGCCAAGGCAGGTGGTGCACCCCTGAAATTCCAGTGGCATGGGAGGCTGAGGTAGGAGGATCACAAGTTCAAAGCCAGCCTTAGCCTCTTAGCAAGACCCTAAACAAATTAGTGAGACCCTATCTCAAAATAAAATATAAAAGTAGCTAGGGATGTGGCTTGGTGGTTAAGTGCCCCTGGGTTCAGAAAATAAAAATAAAAAATAAAATAAAATAGGAGCAAGTAAATAATACCCTCCAAAATGTGAAATAAGAACTAGAGGATCTCAAGCAAACAGTAAATGTGGTAAAGGTATTCTCCTGCTAAAAAGAGGTCAGGGAATGTCTGGGCTGAGAGAAGGCTACTCATTCTGACTACCTTGTTATTTCCTATGCAATTGAAGTTTGGGAACTTTTTAAGATTTTTCTCCTTATCTTTGAAAAAGCAATATGCTATAACTTCACTATAATGAACATAATTGAACGTTTATCCTGCTTGGGTCTCCAACTGTGCTTGAAATCTGGATACCTATGGTTTCCGGTAAGCTATTATATTTTCAAAAATGGCTTCTCCGTCATTCTTTCCTGTCTTTTTTGGATTGGAATCTCCACTAAACATACATGGAAACCCCTGGGTACTAGCAGGCAAGATCCAGTCTACAAAATGCCAGTTTGCAATCTCTCAGCCAAGAATTAAGCACTGAAGCATAGCACACTGTGAGCTATTTAAATGGCTTCTAGAGCGCTAAAAGGAAAAAGAGGGTAGATCTCATGAAAATCAAAGGGAGATCAATGGAGAAAAGGGACCTTGGGGTAGGAGGAGGTGGAGAGGGAAGATAAATAGTGTGGGGGGGGTGACACTGGCAAATTATATTGTTATATTTGTGCGTGTACAAATTTGTAACAAATTCCATCATTTTGTACAACTATAATGCACCAATAAAAAAATATGGGAAGAAAAAAAAAGATATGAAATTAAATGGCTTCCAAAGAAAGACCTGTACACAGGATTCAAAGTGCAAGTTAAGAACCACATCAGCCCTGGTAGAAGGGAAGTGTTTTCAGGGAATATGACCTGATGTTTTGATAAACGTAGTAATAAAGGGGGGAAAAAAGACCTGAATGGATAGCTGGGTAAAGAAAAGGATATTTTTAAAATAAGGGAAAAGTAGGAGTCACTGATGCCATAAGAAAGGGAAGAGGTGGAAGGGTCAACCTCAGCAAGAATGGGGAATATTGTTTCTGAAATAAGAAGGAAGAGAAGTTGCATGATGATCCATAAATTTCAAACAACATGAAGGAAAAAATAAAGAGAGCTTCCAGTGGGATGGCTTCAGGCTTCTCTGCAAAACTGATGACAATGTCACTGTATAAGAATGATAGGGCATCTGGGTGCAGTGGCGTATGCTTGTAATCCTAGCAGCTCAGGAGGCTGAGGCAGGAGGATCACAAGTTCAAAGCCAGCCTCAGCAAAAGCAAGGTGCTAAGCAACTCAGTGAGACCCTGTCTCTAAATAAAGTACAAAAATAGGGCTGGGATGTGGCTCAGTGGGCAAGTGCCCCTGAGTTCAATCCCCAGTACCAAAAAAAAAAAAAAAGGAGAGGGTTTAAGCATGAGAAGTAAAGATGGTTTGGAACAGCCACTATGGAGCCCATAATCTTGATTCAACAGGGAGAAAAGGAATAAGTAGCAATGGCAAAGGCTTGCTGAGAGTCACCAGCATAAGTCATAGTAAACCCCAGCATAGCTTTATGACTTTGGCCAACAGTTCTTGGCAACTCAAGATGTTACACAACTGCCTGAACACGTGCTCTTCTGTGTGGGAAGAGTGCCAGGCTGGAGAGGCTCAGAGTCCCCTTCTATGGGAAGACTGGCAATCCGGAATGCTAGCATAATATGTATTTGGTAACAAAATCTCATAAACAAAGCAGTTACTGCATACTTTCCTTTAGAGAGTCGTGCAATCAACTCTCTTCTAATCCATCAAGGACTAGATAAAGAAAGGCCACACTTCAGAGGGGAGATCAGCAGAGTGTGACTCCATTGTGACCAATTTCCTTAACAAGCCGAATATCTCTAAGGTAAATATTTTGCTAACTTCCACAACTCAGAAAACTGGATCTTCCTTCTTGAATACTTTCACTAGTATTACCCACAGAATGTTTTCATCCAAACTGAGACACCTGAGACACGTCAGAGAGTAAAACTATAAGAGTGCTGTTATTCATGAACTGGGAGCAATGAGCACATACTGAGACTGATCCAGGCAAAATGGAACAAATGTGGGCTGGCGATGTAGCTCAGTGTTGAACAGGTGTTTAGCATGCTCAAGGCCCCATTTTTAATCCTTAGCAATAAAAAAAAATAAAAGGAACAATGGAACAAATGGTTGATTGTTATAGGCATATAAACCACACAGAATTGCAAAAGGCAGCTTGGAACCACATGGAACAGCCAGTTCTGTGTGGCTGGTGATGGGGGGAAAGGATGCTACCTACCCACAAAACTGTGAGCAACAGGGACAGAAAGCCATTTGGAGGATGCTGAGCCACATATCAAAGGGTTGTGGTTAGCTACACCATAACAGCACAAGGTCAGGTTAGAATTCCACATGAGGAATGAGGTTATGGCTCTAAAGGAAAGATGACCATGAAGTCCAGAAGACTCATGATCAGAACAGGCTCTGTAGCTCCTTGGTACCAAAACACTTTTATGAAAGGCCAATTTGGGGAAAAATGAGTACTAGGGTAATGAAAGAAAATATATTCTGATTTCAATAAGAATTCATTAATAAAATTGAATCCACAATAAAAGATCTGAGTAATCTGAGCTTCCTAGTAGCTTATGAGGATGGGGCATGAAAAGATACTTCTTGGGGGGGAAAAAAACTTATGAAAAGTACAGAAACACATAAATAACAAAAATGCTCCTGAGATAGTTAACATTGGCAAGAAGAAACAATGATTAATAAGCAATCTTGAGGCTTTCTCAAACTGTGGGGCCCTGACCAGCAGCCTCATCAGCACCTGGGAACTTATAAAAATGCATAGTGTCAGACCCTGACCCAAGCTTACTGAGTCAGAAACCATGAGTGATAAAAAGGAAAGATTCAGGACCTCAGAACCCTCCTAAGACCAATGGGGAGGCCCCATGCTCACCTCTAGTTCAGAGTCCCAGACTAGGGGGACAGGCAATCTCTGCCACTGCTACTGAAGCTGCAGTCCTGTTTTCCCATAGTGTCTCTGCAGCCACAAGAGAAGGTCCTGCTTGTCACCACTGACTTGGGCCTAGTGAGCTGCCTGGCCTTGAACATGCTTGAAAGGTATGGCTAAGTCCCTCCTTGAACTGGTAATGGTTTAAAATACCAGGTAGCAATGAAAACAGACCAGAGTTCCATCCATTTAACCTCATAGATTATACAGCAGAAAAATATCGATTTCCATGTCCCCATGAAATCAGTTCTTTTAAACCTTTGTAAAGAGCAGGTGAGATACTTCCCATATTTGGAAGCCACTGAGTTATGACAGATGAAAATAAATAAATAGATAGATAGATAGATAGATAGATAGATAGATAGACAGATAAATAAAACAGAATATTTCAAAGAAAAGCCCACCCATTTTTCATTTCACCTTTATAAACAAGTAGAACATACTTTTATTTTTTCCAACCCACCTGATAACATGGATCCCTCATTAGTAGCCTCAGACAAATTAACACTCTCAGAAAATGAATAGATGGGGCTCGATTAACCCACTCTCTGAAAGAAGAAAACAAAAGAGGACATGTTGGTGTTTAAAACCCCAAATGACAGTTCATAACAACACACAGCTATGATGGAAAATAAGGAATACATTAAAGGTGAGAGAAGCACTCAGTTACTTTAAGTTTAGTCTTCAGTGGAGACTGTTTTGATGCTTGCACTCTTGTCCCAAATTTATGCAAAATACATGTAAATCATCTTTGTCACTATGAAACAGAAAACCCCAATACGGACTCATACTGACTCAATAATGCATGACACCTCTCAGCCAAAATAAGTAGCTAAAACTTCCAGGAATTAGTTAGGTACAACTTAATTAGAATTTGTGCCCT